CTTATGTATGTGTGTGTGTAAGAGTTTGCGCGCACACACAATATACATGTTCCCTGTCCTCCAAGGCTTAATGGTTAATTGTATCGACAAGATGTACATTTATGATAAACAAGTTAACAGTGCAATAAATGACCCAACGCAGTTTATAATTAAGTTCTGAAAGAAAAATATAATCAAATGCTATGGTTTCACAAGATCATTGGTGGGTTCAAGAAAACGTCATGAGGAATTAATCCGAGTCCTGAAGGAGAAGTTGGATTTGGAGAGGTGGAGACAAATGGGAATGCATTTTAGTTGACAAATATGGGATAGGCAAAGGCAGAGAATATGAATGAGAAATGAGGGTGCTGTATTTGGAGAGTAATCACTTTAACAGCCATTAAGGGTGTATATGTGCCAAGCACAGTTATTAACTCCATTTTGCTAAAGAGGAAGCTGAGAGGGAAGAGATTAAATCGCCCAAGGACATATGACTCTTCAAGGGTAAAGCTGGGTATCAAACCATGCAACATGATATCAGAGACCTAATAGTTGTTCTAGACTTGTGCTGTCTCAGACTGTAGCCAAGAGCCACATGTGCAGTGGAGCACTTGAAACACGTCTGGTCCAAGCTGAGATGTGCTCTAAGTGTAAAATACATGTCAGATCTTGAAGTCTTAGGATCAAAGAAAACAATGCAAAATATCTCATGAATAACTTAATATTGATTACATATTGAAATAATATTTTGGCTATATCATTAAATAAAATGTATTATTAAAATTAATTTCACCTGTTTCTGCTTTTAAACTATGGCTACTAGTCGGTTTAAAATGGCTAGTGTGTGGCCATTTAAAAAGCCCATGTGTGGCTTGCATTTTATATTTATTGTACTGCTGCTAAGGACTGCCCACCAGTGAGTGAAGAGCCTAACTGAAGTGAAAGAATAGAAACAAGGGTGAGGGCAGGCAAAGGAAAAAGGAGATTAGATTGGCATTGAAATTTATCCTTGAAGCTAGAGTTCCTCAGAGCGTGATCCGTGGACAATCTGCCTCACGTTTTCAGAATGGGGTCAACCCTGAAACTTCAGTCATCCCTAATTCATTATTTTAGTCTCTTCCTTGCAGACATTTTAAGGCTACCTAGAGAGGGGAATCTGCAGAAGAGACTGTAACTCTGGTTTTACAAAGACAATGAACATGGATGCCATTTTCTTAATATTGTGATCAATGTTGCTGAATTGGACTTCAGCAAAATAAAAGATACAGGCAGTTGACGACAGTGTCATTTAAAGAATTGCTTTCTGGAGATTGGATGGTTGCTACTTATTTATTTAATATATGGAGGGGGAAAAAACGCTTAAAATTACCCCATAACTTATAGCCTAGCCTTTGACTGAAGTGATTGCCACTTGGCTCATTAGGTGAACTAGGTAAATGCCAATACCAATGTGATTTGGCGATTTGTGGGGTCTTTGGAATGTTTACATTGGACCCTGACCACCCTAAAGAAGTTGTATGTCCTGGTATCCATACGCTATAGTACATTTTGTTAAGCTGACTTACCTCTTAAGTCATACCAGAGCTTAGCACTTTCAAATTACCCTGGCCGATAGGAGATTTTGATCTATTTATTCTAAGAGACAATCATAATTGGATAACAAAAAGTAAATTAGTTTTATTTCTTCATGAGTACATAGAAATTTATAGATCTTAAGGTTTTAACAGTAGATGTTCCGTATTGACATTAAACAGTGCATAGTTCTCAAATGATAGACACGTTGCTGTGATCATCCACAACCTTGATCAATGATCAGTTAAAATACACTGATGATGATGTAGATTGAAGAATACCATCCCTCATAGAACTGAATAAAATTCAGGACTGCCTGAATAAAATTCTGTACATGAACGGCAACTTTATCAGACATTCAGCAGCTATTTTTTCAGTATAAACTTTTTTTTTTTTTAAGAATGTGCTTGATCTGCTTGCATATTTTGAGGGCATAAGAAATAACCTTGGTAAAGTGCTGAGATTTTGACACTTTTTAACAGTCGACAATAATAGCTGTCAAATAGCAGCCTGCAAAACAGTATCAAATGATTTTCCACATAAGTCAGGAGGCTGCAAAATTTTTAGCACTGGCACTGGGTAGAAATAGCCACAAGGGTAGTACCAAATCTGCAGATATTTCCGTTTTTGTTTTTTTTAATGTTTCTCATTTTTAGGTTGACTAGAATTTGGAATGCATTTTCTTACAGGATTATAAATAGAATTCTAGACCAGCCTTCAGAAACATCTTTAACCTATCTGAGTCAGTTCTGTTTCACCTTCCTTTGACCTCTGTTTGTACTGTGACCTCTTTGGGAAATGTATTCCTGTGATAGTGGGAGATGCCTGATTAAATTTTCTTTGCCTTGTTAGTAGAAATTCCCCAGTCAGAGGCATTGAGGTATGGGTAAACTGTCATGAACACAAGTATTTTGTAAAAAGAAGGTATTTCTTAAGGTCTTTCTCTTCCCGATTGGATTGTTTTGAATTGCGCTGTAAGGAGATAACTGGGTCTCTGCAGGGGCAGGAAATCCAAATTCCTGCTGTCTTCTGTCGATCCTATAAGTCATTTGTGAATTGAGTCAGGTACTTTTTATACCAATATGGAAGAGAAATAACACATTTTTCATAGTTTTCTTTTGTACAGCATTCAACAAGGTATGTGCACAAACTAAGCTCTTTGAAGGCTTATTTGCTTTTGTATCTCCAGCACTTAATTAGCACAGGGCCCAACACAGAAGAGATGCTGTGCTGTGTTTGTTGAATGAATGAATGAGTGAATGAATGAATAAATAAATGAGCAGCTGACGTTTATGAAGTACTTTAAATGCTGCATGGTCTCCCAAAGATTTGTGGTAATTTGATAAATATTTTTATAGCAATTTTAACATTGAATTGTGGACCTTAGAGTGATAAGCTTTATGAGGTCTTTGCTTCTCTTATGAGAGAGAGCATTTTCTAGACGCGTATAAATGGGATGGCCTAGTTGCCATCAGCCCACAATAAGACAGTTGTTTTTGGTGCAGTGGAAAAATTAGCAGAATAAAGAGATTGCCTAACGGAATTAGATTGCCGAAGAGCAAACTGTAACTTTCCAAGTTACAAAAAAAATTTACGGGTCTGAATATCAAGGGAATACTTCCCTTTTAAAATAATAAATATCTTGCTTTTGACCTTATTTGCAAGCCCCACTGTTTCCTAATCTTATCCTTCTTTATAAGCCGTAGGAGTAAGTATAGCAGAATACTTGCTAGCTTGGGCTTTGGAATTCAGGCAGACCTGGGTTCAAACCCCATTCCGCCACTTAATCCTCTGTCATCTCGGTAGAGTTACGTATACGAGGTAATCCGTATTTCTCATTGTAAAAAGGGGGTGATAAAAGATCCTTGTCATGCTTATGTGAATTAATGTCTGTAAAGCATTGAAGCATATAGAAATGCTGAATAATGTTAGTTCCTACGTGATAACCCCTATCTGAAAATGGCATTTTTTTGCCTCTGCCTTTGAAAAGTTCCTAGCCACTTTTTAAAGACTTAGTTGAAGATGACTCCTCACTATATTTTTTCATCTCTGTCACTACCTCATCTGAGTTCCCATAGTATTCGATTATAAGCACTCACCATGGCTGTTACATGTTTGTTTCTCTCCTACACTAGATCACAAATTCTTTAAAGAAAAGGAGCTCATATGTTTGTATTTTTCTGTGTTTCTCCTACAGGGTTTGGCACATGGTATTTAACAGAACATTTGTTAAATTGTTTTGTTTTGTTTTGTTTTGTTTTTGTGGTACGCGGGCCTTCCTTCCTACTGTCAGCATCCTAGATAACAGGTTCAGTCCCATCTTTTAAGCTGATTCTTCCCCCAGAATTTTGAAGCTGATTGGTTTAAATACAGTATTTTATTTATATTTTGTAGTATTTTGATAGCTAAATCCTGATGACTAGCATTGAGAACTTATTATGTGTCAGGCACTGAGGACTTTCGTGTGCTGTCTGGTTTAAACTCTTACAGCAACCCCACTAGGTACTGTCGTTTTCCATGATGTTATGGTAAGAGAACTAAAACTTATAGATACAGGGTAACTTGCTCCAGGTCGCAGAGCTGGTAAGTGCTGGATCCAGGATGTGAACCTAGGTCATCTGATTCTGGGGCCTAAACTTATAATTAGGCAACTGCCTGCTCTTTTCACATTTTGGGGGAACTTTTTTTTTTTAAATTTAATTTGAGGTAATACATATAAAGTATACTGTTTGTTTCAGAGTAGTTCCTTTAAAAATTATAGTTTTATTCCTTCTCTTCTGATATGATGTGAGATAAATTCAAAGATAATTATATAAAAATGAGTAACACGAGCATTGTAAGGGATCATACTGTCCAAATCAATTTTGGGATTTTTAATTCCCCGTTGCAGTGTTGGTTGAACATCTTATTTTAATCCAAGAGAGTGTTCTCACATATAAGAAATCACAGAGTATCAGGAAAAGGTGGTGAATAGTAGACCTATCTGGTTTCAAAATTCAGTTTTCTTTATCTTTGATACCTTGTCTTATTAAAACACTTTTAAAGATATCTGTGTGGAATTTTAGGTATGTTTTTGGTCATTGTGTATATTTAACTTGTCTGATGTCTTAAGTAACACATATTTGTCATTTTAAGATTCTTTTAAAGTCACGTTTGCAGTTTGATCTAAATGTAAATAAACTCGATGTCCAGTATCTTAAGGTCCAAATAACCTGCACACTTTTACATACATTTGGAAATTCAGGTCAAATGTTTCCCGGTTGTTATTACATAGAGCAAAATCCTGATCTAGTATAGTTTACCATTGTTTTCTTCCTTAATATGAACATTATATTTATATAATACTTATTATATATCAGGGGTTGATTCTATTATGTTCACAGGAAATGTTTTTAAAATATTTTAAGCTCTATATTTCATGTAAGCACTTTTCATCTTTTTCAAAATAGGTAAATCAAACTGGGAAGATGATGGTTGGGGAGCATGGGAAGAAACAGAGCCCCAAGAACCTGTAAGTCTTTGTAAACACGTGCATGCTTTTTGATAGCGGCATTTTCCTTTTGTAATGATGGTGACATATTTCAGTGTTAGGTTAACATTTTAAAATCAGGCAGGCCTGGTGTAAAGCTTTGTGAATTTGAAGTTTAGCCTGCATGTGATCAGAAACTGCACTATCTGATTTCTGGTTTTTGAAGCTCACCTTGGCTGCTTTGTGGAATAGGTTGCCTCTCCTACTCATAAAGGTCATGTGTTGGTTTATTTTACAGTATTTCATTTTGATGTTCCACTGTTTCAGCTGATTCTGGGTGACGCAGACAATGACAGCCTAGTTAGAATGTGTAAGTGTTATCAGGCCTCCTTTAAATCTGACCTGTAAAGTATGTTGTCTTCTCTTTATTGGCAAGGAGATCCTAAATCTGGGGATGACATATCTTAACTGTTTCAGTTAAAAGCTGAAGTGTGCTTCTGCTCATTCTGAAAACACATGAAATTACTTACATGTGGAATATTTTTTCATTCGGATAAAATTTGAATATTTACAAGTAGCCCTCAGGGATGAGGGAGGCTTGTTGTTCCCTTTGTCTTGACAGATTTGCCCACACTGTGGATTTGGCAAATGCGGCGAGTGAAACAGTATTGTTAGGCCTCGTTGACAACAATTCTGGGTGTAGCAATCATTCCTAACTGTTTGAACCCTTTACCCTGTCACAGTCTTTTGTACATGGTGAGGGTATTTGGAAGACAACAAAAGTGGGCCAGGACAGTGGGGTTCAGAGGTTATTCAGATGTTAAAGTCACCCTGCAGTGTTTAAGAGAGCTTCTTTGAATTTGGATCCTGTCCTCAAAACAAGACGACATCTTTGCCAAGGGAGCCTGTTTGGTGGGTGAGAACATAAATGGCACTGTGGCCAGGGAAAAGGGTATGACCTCTGCCTTACACTGCAGCATCATCCAGAACTTTCCATGTATAGGATCATTATGAAGTTTGGCTGAGAAACATGTTTTATACCAGGACTATTAGAAAGTTTACTAAGCTGAGGCAAAAGATTTCTGTTATTTCTGCTACCAGCTATGGTGATGAACAAGTCCAAAGGCACAGCCAGCTCCAGAGGCATGGCAAGAATCAGAGTTAACTTTTGGCAGATGTGTGAAACGCAGAAGTACACGCCCTAGTCAAGGTTAATAGGTGTAGCCACCTAGTCGGCATGGAGAGGGAACTTCAACTCTCTCTTGTCATGGACAGACAGCAAACTCAAAACCTGCCTTCCTTCAGAGTCCACCTGGCGGGCCTTGGCCACATTAAAGATGAGAGAGACCAGGACTGGAAAAAGCAGACTGTCATAAAGTCAGTTTATGTTTCTGTCAGGGTGCTGTAACTGTCAAAACAATGATAGGCTTCTCTATCAATTGCCGTAGGGTGGTGGTTAACTGTGACCAGCAGAAGAAAGTAGGCTTTCATTCTTCATTAGTCTGGCATTAGAGACATGTTGTGTTCTGGTCCGTTTAGGCGGGCTGCAGTGGCGTGTCGGTGAACCGCAGAGCAGGGCACCTAAGAGGAGAGTGCAGTAGCCACTGCCACCGAATGCCGACCTGAAGGCCACCTCGCTGCTGCTGAGTCCCGCAGACAACTATGAAAGCCTCAGGGTGCTTTTTATCTCCAGAAGCCTGTCAGCTCTTTGAGAGCAGTTTCTTATTTTTATGGCAGAAGAGACTAAAGGGCTTTTGTAATCATAGAGATTTAGTACCAGGGGTCTGGATAAGGCTTTTCGAAGGAAGGAGAAAGCCTCTTTAATTTCGATTCTGGGGTGTCAGCTGTAATGAGGGCTTAGGGAAGGAAGCATATTCTAGTATCTGTTATCAGCAGTAGCCAGCCACGTCCAAGAAAGCAAGCGTCTGTGACACTGGTAGGCTTTGGAACTTTAAGGATGGCTTCTCTTATAGAAAAGGACAAATGTCCTTCTCTTATAGATATTTCGTACCTGTGTTAGTCTGCTTGGCTGCCATAACAGAATACCACAGACTGGGTGGCTTGAACAACAGAAATTTATTTTCTCACCGTCCTGGAAGCTGGAAGCCTAAGATCAAGGTGCCATCAGGGTTGGTTTCTGGTGAGACTCCTCTTCCTGGCTTGCAGATGGCTGCATTCTTGCTGTGTCCTCACCTGGCCTTTCCCCTGTGCATGAAGACAGAGAGCCGGTTCTGGTGTCCCTTCCTCTTCTTAGAAGGATACCAGTCTATCAGGGCTGTGCCCTTATGACCTCTTTTAACCCTAATTAACCTCCTTAAAGGCCCCATCTTCAGATACAGTCACATTGGGGGGTTAGGGTTTCAACATGTGAAGTTTGGGTGCAGGATACAATTCAGTCCATAACAATGCCCCAAATAATGGATCCATGTCAGGCGTAACTTTTATGTGTACAAGTGCAATGAATAAGGTTAAGGAATTCCTCCCTGCCCGTGAGTAAATACACAAAAGGATTGAAAGGCAAACAGAATAGGCTTTCAAGACGGAAGAAAAGGCAAAACAAAGATCTTCCTCTGTACTGTATTTTAAGCTGACATCATGACAAAGGGGACCTGGCTGGGGGAAATGGGAAAAGAAGGTAGTTGTACTACAATGTCTACCTATTAATGATCCTATAACAAATAGTAAATAGAATTTTTTACAGTGTTGTAAGGGGCTTTTAGTTGGGGTTATAATTTTTTTGCTTTGGGAAAGAAGTGGTGTGTTGCTCAGCCTCATGCTATAATGGGAATCTAGGCGGTTCGGGAAGAAGCTTGATAGGGTTTAATTTAATTTTAACTGGCAAGGCAGATTTAATGAGCTTTCCTTCGTTGCTGTATTAAGACCAGAGGGTTGGAAGTATAGAATCAAGGATTTGTTTGACGGCGATTTCTGGAACAGGAAGCACAGAAGGTCCTGGGTTAAGGTCCCCAGTTAAGGTAGGCAGCATGGAAATTTTCCACTTAAGAGACACCTTAGGAATGTGTTCCATCTGTTTTACAGAAGGTGACATAATGTAGTTTACGGAGGCACTAATGATTTAGCAGATTAACAGGGAATGCAAAAAGCATGCTGGTCAGATAGAGGCCCCAGAGAAATGTTTGCTTACAGGCTGAAAAGTAGGAGACAGCATGACCTGATTAGAGCATTAGAGCATTAATAATCTGGGGTAATGCTGGAAAATATTTTGCCTTATTTTAGTGTCCTTAGACTGTGGTGCCATCTACCACGCAAGAGACGTAAGCAGTGGATTGGCCAGAGGCAGAAGGAGAGCACCCACATTACGCTAAGGATGGCGCCCGAGGCCCTCCTCCTGTGAGGGGATGGTGGCCGCAGAGGGTCTCTTTCCTCAGGTGGGCTCTCATCAGGACTTTGGACCTTGGACTATTAGAAACATTCATTTTGCCAGTGACTTTCCATGTTAACACAAGCTGGGTTTAGCCTAGTGCTTCTCAACTGGGGGTGATTTTGCCCCTTAGGGGGCATTTGGCAATGTCTGGAGACATTTTTGTTTGTCACAACTTGGGGGAAGGCACATCTAAGTGGGTAGAGGCCAGGGAGGGATGCTGTGAAGCGTTTTACAATGCACAGGACAGCCCTTCAAACGAAGGATTGTCCACCCAAAATGTTAGTCGTGCTGGAGTTCAGAAGTCTTGGGCTCGCCCATGGCTTTCAGTATAACTCTCCCAGCTTTTCTTGCTGCCTTCACCTTTTTGTTCTCTAAAATTTCTTGGCCTCTTTTGGGGGCCTCAAAACTTTTGATCTTGTAAATCAGCCCTACCTCAATTTTAAAAAAGTTATTTAATAAATGAAAAAAAATAGCAGAGGGGGTAAAAAAAACCCTTTGATCTTTATGGCCATGAGTTGGGTTTTCGTAGATACCGGTGGAGTGATTTGCTAGTGTGAAAAGTGCAGTTAAAGGATTGTTTGCCAGCCAACAAAGGTGAGTGTAAGCTGTTCCCCGGTCTTTGGCCACAGACCAACCAGTATCCGGGCTCAGTCTTGGTGGCACTATTTATGCCTAAATATTTAAAAGTGACCTATTTTTAGTCTCACTATGTAGTCAGCCACCACTTTTCCTTGCTCTTGTTGATAGTTGTTAATTTTAGTTCAAGTCTGGACTCCTCAGGCATTCCTGCAGGGTAGCTCTGTCAGTTGGTTTTGGCTTGGTGATGGGCCTCTGGTCTTCTGCCAGGGAGGGAGGGACAGTGGCTGACTGTGTGGGGTGGGGGAAGGGATCTGGGGACCTGCTTTCCACCAAGCCTCCTGACTTCAGCCGCATCTTTGCCCTCACTCCCAGGGGGAGCTGGCACCAACTCCTAAGCCTATTGGCAATCTTGCAGTGCAGCTGGGGTTGCTTCTCATCTTTCCTCGCCACCACTTTAGTGGGAGTTAGTTTTCCAGGGACTGTAAAATCAGTTACCACCTGTCCGTCTGCTTTCTAGCTCTCAAATTTTAGTGGCTTTTCTCCTCCTTCTTTTTGTCTGTACTTGAAACAAACTCTTCTGCTGTTGTTTTTAGTGGGGTTGAGAGTGCTGGGGAAAGTGAGAGTAAAATTGATCTGTTTAATTCTCTCTTTACCTGAAAGTCCATGTAGACTTCATTTTTACATATTGTTCGACCTCTTGCCTTTTACATTTAATGTAATATGGAGGTTTTTCTGTGTCTGCATATATAAATCATCTAGTTCTTGTAAAGGAATACTAACTGTTTCATTGTATAGATACACTATGATTTATTTAGCCACACCCCTGTTGAGGGACATTTTGTTTATGTTTGTTCTTTGTCTTTTCTGTTTTCTGTCACAGGAGATGCTGTAATCATCTTTATATCTACTATGCATCTTTGGTTACACACGTGTGTAGTGTCATGAATGAAAGTCAGACTGCCTGAATTTCTATCCTAACTCTGCCACTCAGTGACTGTTAAACCTTGGGCAAGTTACCTAACTTCTCTCAGTCCAGTTATGTCATTCCTAAAGTGGGACTAATAGGATTATTATAGGA